GTCTTTAGTTAATATAGTCTTTTAGTCGACGAATCGCTTCCGGAAATGGTAGTAAAAATGTATTTGTTGGCAAGGTAGTTTACACTTAGGTGGATCCTAAGAAGAACCGATGAAATTGATGGTTAAGTAGGGAACGTAAATACTTATAATGGCCCTAAAAAGCGCCAGTGGTGAAACTTCCAGGCTATTCTTTCTTATTATTCCTGATGATGAAGAGCTGGCTACGGGTTGCTTGATTCTTACCCTGGAAGTTTCAATGTACGGAGACTGTAATGGAGGAAGGTACGCCACTGACCAAAGAATATCTCGTCTCGAGTTGTTCCCCGGATAACCAACCGCTCATCGTTAGACTGGAACATGAGGGTAAGCGCGTTGGGGACGCGACGCTAAGAACGTAACTGTTGTGGATGCCCGTGCCCCTCAGAGCTATTTTCTCTTGCTTATATTTGTAGCCACAAATTCTCTAACTGCACCAGGTGAAATGGTGGGACTGCCATACAACTCTGATGAGTTGGTGCAGATTGTGCTCTGGCTAGATATGTCTCCCGGTATTGTGGCAGAGACGGCATCGGTTGAAAGTAATTTTTTTTTTTTTTATCGCATTCGTCAAGATTCAGGGTGAATGGACACCTAGGCAGGGATGTTAATCAGACCGGACGTCTGACCAACTTGTGGGTGTCAGACGTCTACTGTGTCTCTTAAAGTCTATGGTCAGCTGCCGTTGCAAAAAAATGATGTTTTGTATTAAAAACATGTATTTGGTATGAAAAAGTGCAAGAAGGGACCTTTTGCAAGTGAGGTGAGTCAAGTTTATGCGTTGACACTGAATTCTAGTTATTTTTATAAGTTTAGATGAGTAGTGTACTGTAAGGTATAGGTTAACTTCTGACTCATATTGGATGGTGCTCAAATATAAAGATTGTAGCCAAATTTGTTTAATTACTCATTCTTAACGAACTGTATTAGTGTTTTGAGTGGATTAAGTGTATCTTATATGTTACCAATAAAACTGGTTTTGTTAACATTAACTTAAAGGTATACTGACATGTAAATAATTGTATGTTTTCTCCAGTAAGTGCATTTGCTACTTTCTTAAAATCACCTGCCAAAGTTATTCAAAAAGTAAAGTAAAAACTGTTACATTATTCTAAGGTGTATGAATATTCACTTATTAAATCAATCTGGCTTAAAGCAATGTATT